GACCCTATATATATATATATATATATATATATATATATATCATTTAGGAACCTGCCAACATGTCTTTTTAGAGAAGAGGTGATTACAAACAATGAAAAATAGAGATACCCTGTTAATATTGATGTTTCATCTTAGAACTATCGTTCAAAATACTTGGTTAGTACCAGCTGGATCAAAGATCATCACCATTAACATGTCTGGTTAATTAGAAACTGGAGTCAAAGATAATTTCGTGCCGGGTATGCTTTGTATTCGATTTGTAAGGTATTGTATAAACTGGTTCTATCGTTTATAGCAAGTGTACAAAGATCGAAAATATCGAAATAGAAAGAAAAAGATAGCATCTAGAGAGTGACATAAACATAACCTAAGGTTGTTTTATTTCTTCAAATTTTTATAAGATCACACAAAACTCAAATTAATTTACTTCAAATCACATAGTGTTAGACATGCATATAAAGGTTTATAAGAAGTAGCATTACAAATGGATATGTGGAGCAAGTTTTCTTGATGATTATCTAATCATCAGTTCCCAATTCCTCAATCATGCTCATCTGGTTAAGTGGATTGTTAAACATTTGGAACTCACAGTACTTGCAACTTGAGGGCATGATGGATGATTCAATCCCCAATTGATGATGATGATGATGCCTGTGGTCTATGTTTGGTGTCACTGGATTCTTACGCGAGATCACAACAGAATTAACAACATCATCATCCGGATGGAAAACCGAGAGAACTTCAAACCCTTGAAGATGTTCAGGGTCAACCACCGGATAAAGAAAAGCCCGAGCACCATGAGCACTCCTCAGCATCAGGATGGATCCTGGCTCCATGTACTTAGCCAAATGTTGCACCACTTTAACCTTCTCATTGATGTGCATCCCCACAAGTGCGGCCAGAAAGATGACATCATAGTCCTTCAACTCATCTGTGACATCCATGATGTCAGTCGTGTGGAAGATCATCCTCCGTGACAAATCAGGATCGGGAGAAACTAAGCAAGACGCCATCGAGTTTGCCAAAGGGTCAATGTCATAGTTGTGAAAAGTTGTGTCCTTGAGATGATGAGAAGCCAAAACAATCGATGTAAGAGGCAAAGGACCCGACCCCACAAAGGCAACACGCTTCGGGGGGCCAGATTGAGCCGAATAGTGTTGATTGAGGATGTTATATTCGATAAGGCTAAGCTTGAGGTAATTGGAGTAGTAAGGGAAGACATGAAGATGATGAAGAGGGTTCTGAAAAGAGGCTAAAATGGTGGAGTAATGAGCCTCTAAATGGCCCTCAGCTTCACCACAAAGCCTAACGAGCTTAGACCTCATCTCTTGAATATTAGTAGGAAGAGTTGAGACGTTGATGGAAGAGGGTGGGATGCACGTGAGGACCAACTGTGTCAAAAGAGTGTCGACATTCTTGGAGGGTTTGAGGGTTTCAAGCTTTGAGATCTTGTCGTAAAAGTGGCAGACTTTCTCTACCAAAATGGCTTGTTCTTGGAGAGAATCCATGTCGACACTATGAGGAGAGGTGGTTTTAGGGCAAAAGATTCTTTACAAAAGCTCTGCAAGTCAGAGGACAGATACAATGGTGTTAATTTGTGGAGTATTTCAAGGGGAAGTGTGCCCTATTTATGGGCATCCAATACCTGAAGACAAAAGGGTGATCCATTCGCGTCTCCTTGACCCTCAGGGAAATAGACAAACCCCTAACTGCAATTTTATGTTTTTTTTTTAAATTGTATATTGAAATAAAAAAATAATTTATTAATTTAAATATTTTGTTTATTTATAATCATGCTTTCTTTCATCGTAAATTCGTAATTAAATTAATTAACATAAATGGTTATACTAGGATCTCAATTGCTAATA